TTATTTATCAAAATGATGCATATGGATCTAATGGTGCAAAAATATTGACTGAATTATTTATTAAAAACAATTTGATAGTTGCAGATACCTTAGTATTTGATATAGCAACACTTCGTATGCAAGATAATTTGAAAAATTTTTTAATTAGTAGTTCAACACGAATTGTTGTATTATGGGCTGGATCAGTTTATACAACTTTAATTATACAAAATGCACTTGATTCTGATGTTCTTGGTCCACATTTCACATGGATATTAAGTTCAAGTCTCCCATTAAACTCTTTTCATGAAACATATCATCAAAAATTAATTGGAATGCTAACTGTTGAACCTATACCAGGAAATATTGTTGATGCACCAATTAATACAACATTATTAAATGCAGCCTATACTATTTGGAAACAATATGAACCTGAAACATTTCCGAATTCAGGAAAAGTAAATTATTTTGCATTATTTGCATTTGATGCAACTTGGTTATTGATTCAATCATTAAAAGAATTGTGTTCAAAAACTACTAATAGTTCTTCATCATGTATATCATTTAGCAATTCTTCATTCTGTTTTGACCGTCATTTTCTTAATTCCGAGTTATTTTTTAATACAATTAATAATATGATACTACTTGGTGTGTCTGGTCCGATTCAATTTAATATTAATGTAACAGATCGAATAGATGGTAGTTTTTACTATGCACAAAACTCTCGAAATTCTTCAAATAGACTAAATTTTGTACCAGTATTGAAATATTCTAATCGTGATGGTTGGCAAGAATATTCAGAAGGAAATGTAATTATCTGGTCAGGTAATTCGTTAATACCTCCTACTGGGGGTGCAAAACTTGAAGGTGTTAAATTACGAATTGGTGTTATTCAATCAGTTCCATTTACAATGATCAGTACTGTAACAAATGAATTTGGACAGAAGACAACAAAGTTAATTGGTTATATACCTGATCTTATTGATCTTTTACAAAATAAGATGAAATTTATTCCAAATATTGAATTAATACCATCGAATAGAACTTATGCTTCATTAGGACAGCTAGTAGAAGATCGTGTTTATGACATAATAATAGGTGATGTGACAGTTACTGCTGTAAGAAGAGAAAAGATTGGTTTTTCAAATTCAATATTTGATAATTCTTTACGTATTATTATGCGAAAAACTCCCGACGTTGATTTGGATGTCTTTGCATTTATGAAACCATTCTCATGGAGGCTGTGGTTATTGATCTTGGGTATTACTGTTTTGGCTAGCATTTTAATCTGTCTATTAGAGAGAGAAACAAATCCGATACTAGAAGAAGAAAGAACAATAACTGGTTTATATGCAATGAGTGTTTGGTATACGTTTGGTAATCTTGTAGGATATGGTGCAGGTTCTCTTCATCCTAAAACACCTGCTGGACGTTTATTAACTGCTGGTTTATATATCTTATGTTTAGTATTAGTTGCATCATACACTGCAAATTTAGCATCTGATCTAACAGTATCAAGATCAAAAGATCTTATTTCTGGAATTGATGATATTAAAAGTGGAAAAATACCATTTCATCGTATTGGTATTCGTGTAGGTACAGCTATGGAAGAATATTATTTAAGAGAAATTTCTGGTGGTAATCGAAATTATTATCCATTTCAATCTCTCGAAGAAGTGTATGATGGTTTATTAAATAATAAAATCGATGCATCTTTTCATGATGCGGGTGCTGCAGAATATATAACTAATAATATATATTGTAATTTAACACTGATTGGTGAAGGTTTTGAAAAAGGTGTATTTGGTATTATAACACCTAAAAAATGGTTATATGGACAAGACTTAGATGTCAATATATTATCATTACGAGAAACAGGTAATCTTCATAATTTAAGAAGAAAATGGTTTCAACTAAAGAAATGTTCTGGTTCAACATCAACATCTACTGCAATTGAAATTGAATCATTGATTGGATTATTTTCAATATTTGGAATAATTTGTGTTCTATCATTATTATTATTTGCATGGAAGAAATTAAAAAGCTTCAGGAATACTCCCCAAGAATTCTCAAACGACGAAATACCATTGCCTACACTCTCGCATCATTAACCATAAACTATCTATTTATCAAGAATAAAGTTTTTCTATACAATAAATCTATATGAATTTGCATTGATGACATGCATGAACTCTGAAGATTAGTACTTTATTATTCGATCTTATTTCTTTTCAAATTAATTAAATATTTGTTCGTTTAACTATTCTAACTTTCTATATTTTTTATGATAAATGAGTACAATAAACATTGATCACATGAAACTAATCTATGATACAAAAGTGATTGGGGAAATCTTCAGCTATAGTTCTTATTATAGTTTTCAGAAGAAATCTGGCAAGAAGGAAAAACCAAAATTCAATGATCTTCAAAAAAGTTTTTTCAACTTTACAAACTTAAGCTGGGTGTCGATAATAATTTCAGAAAACAGAAAGAACGAAGGTATGGATGTGGATGTTTCCAGCACTCTAAATCCATACCTTTACTTACCCATAAACTATTGTCAACTAAAAAGCAAGAGCTTCAATTGTATTTCTAACCAGATACAGCATGACTTTTGCTACAATGTCATCATTGACCATAATCATCTGTTAGTTGAATAGTTAAATGAAAACAACTATTTTCATGCTTTGAAATATAAAAAGTGGTTCAATAAGTTTGTTTTATTAATTAGAATATGCCTACAATGTCATGATAAACCAAAAAGTAAGATATTCTGCAAGAGATTTTCCTCATTATTGAAGAAAAAGAATGACTATTTTTTGTTGAAAACTTATTTATTTGTTTGGCATTAGCTGGTTTTTTTTCTCGGTCTGGCAAAAAACTGCATCATTATCGCTCAACACAATGATATTGCTTCCATTTTGCGACTTCGAAACTTCTAAGGAGAGAAAAACAAACACAAAACAATCGTGGTATTGAAAAAATAAACAAACACATGTTGATGGCAGTAGTAGTGGAGGCTATCCAAAAAATTTTAATCGATTTAAAGGTTTTGTTTGATTGAAAGATCTTGCTGTTAAAAACGATTTTATCAATGCGTGAAATAATAATACTAAAAACAAAAAGTAAGCCTGGGATGATAGAGTATGAGAGCGAATAGGGTGTGGCTGTTGATGTCGGTTTGGACAAAGAATAAATCGAAACTCACACGCACACCTATACAGTCAAGCTGATGCTGACGCCCTACATTCACCCGCTCGGTCAAGATACGCTTACATCTTCTTTTTCTTTTATTTGCGTTGATTTTTTTGTTCTTTTGAATCGTCTGCTCAATCGACTGTTTCAACGACGATCAACAAGCAATGATTTGTCGATGTCTTGGCTATGATAAGGATAATTTTTTTTTGTTTTATTTCTATTCATTTCATTTCGTTTTCTTTATATTTTCTGTATGATCGACGATAAACTGCGGAAAAACATAATAGACAATATCAGCAGTTACAATACCATCAGCCAAGTATTTTCCTAAGCCATACATCGGTCGCAAGAGAGGAATAGTGACGAGCCATGATAATAGATCATCGTGAATTTCTTTATGGTGGTAACTGTGAGAGTTGTATTCGTTTAAAGCATTGCTTTTAAAATCTAAAATCTTGCGGACTGTGTTTGTTCGAAATGAGAAAAAAAGAAAAAATGGGATTACAGGATGTAAGAGAAATTACTAACAACAACGAGAATCGACGGCAAGAACGACAAAATAAAACCGATCTCACAACGACCATTGCTTCAACTATTATCAATGATTTTGAGTGAAACAATTATAACTTTCATTCGTCATCTTTGTAGAAAAAAAAATGATGATAATGACGTTCAATTTTCTTTGCTCAATACTGTTTTTCTTCTTGTAAGCAAACTAATTGGAGTCGAAAAGAGAAACTTTCCGTTTCTTCTAATAATTATTGAAACAACAACCAGTGATACATGCTTTGATATACGTAGAATAACTCAGTCGACGTATAAAGGTGATGATCAAATAGTTTTCAAATACAGACTGATACATGTGGAGAATGTGAATAATTGAGGAACATGTTGCGTTAATGCAGCTTTCATCTGTCTGTCATCTTTCACAACTCATTCATTAACGATCTCGGTCGCGGTAACAAGAATATTCAACTGCTCACAGGAATGGCTTGATTGTTTCTTGCTTAAAATGATTTCACACTTTATGTTCAGCCAGTATATATGAATATCATGAAAGCAGATCGAATACACAATAATTCATCGAAATAAACCGGCTATCACTTTATACTCAAACATGTAAAAATACTATTGCAAGGTTAAATGTTGATTGAAAAGATGTAGGAAAGTTTAGTTCATGCTAGGATTGGACAAGAGCCATCTACCGTCGACAGAATAGGTTTGTTCTGAACAATAACGAGCATTGTCTGAACACAGAAAAGCGATCATATAAGCAATGTCTTCACGTGTACTGACACGTCCGATAGATATTTTCTCTTCCATTTGCGCATGTTTCTCTGGGTTCTTAGTTTTTTTTTCTGTCATCGGTGATTCAATAAGACCAGGACTAATTCCACATACGCGAACTCCATATTGTGCCATTTCCAAAGTCATTCCACGTGTCAAATTGTGAAGTCCCGCTTTTGATGCACTATCTATAAAAATCCGTATTGTTTGTTCCTGGAAGTTAATCCTAATTTTGAGATGGTCCCATCGCCTATTTCTTTTCATACTTAAAACTCTTTCGAACATAAGCAGAAATCATTGTTTGACTGTAAAAAAAAGAAGAAGTACAGATAGAGGCTATAGTCACAAGCGGATGATCCAATTCGAACGAGTTCTTCCATAACCGAGCTAAGATTAATGATGACTCCAGCATTTTGACCTTTGTTTTCTTTCATTTGAGATTTGTCTTTCAACTGTTTTATAAATTGTTAACCAGCCAATTTAGCGCACATAGATGGACCATGCAAATTCGTTCGAATTACATTTTCCCATTCATTAAAATCAGTCTCCATAACTGGCGTACCTACACCTGCAGTTCCTACAAAAAAAAATCGTAGTTACTATGATTTCTGAGTATTTGTGACTATTCTATAAAATATAGAAGACAGAAAAAATTATCATGATCGATTATTGTACGATTAAACAGTGCAAATTGGCACAAGAATTTCTATAAGCAACACAACATTTACCTATTGACAACAGAAATGAAAAAAAAATTGATCTACTAACCAGCATTGTTGATGAAAATGTCGAGTTGATTGAAATGCTTGAGTGTCGTATCAAACAAGTTTTGTACTGATTTCTCGTCGCCTACATCGACTTGTACAACGAGACCTTGATGACCGGCAGCTTCCACTAGTTTAGCCGTTACTTTTGTGCTCTTTTCATCCGAATGGTAGCATATAACAACATGACATCCTAATTGTGCTAAGATTCGTGCTGTTTCTTGACCTGAATTATTAAGATAATTAGACTTTCATTATTTGATTAAACACGCACTATGTCAAATGTTGATCGATAAGTGTTACAATTTACAACTCGTTTATCCGTTCTGGTTTAGAATTGACTAATTAAAGATATGAAAGAGAAGCTAAAGTTTGCACTGAGTTAATCTTAGATGCAATGAAATTAGGAGACATTGCATTACATGTAGAATTTCACACTCACTGATGCCTGAATCTGATCCAGTGACGATAGCAGTATGATCTTGTAATGGATAAGTATTGTGTTTTGACTGTTTCGATGAACTCATTTCAATCAATGTTGTGGATACGAGTACAATTAATATAACAGTGCGAGTGACTGCTAGTAAATAGTGGTGGAAAAGAAATGGAAATAGATGCAACCCATGCGTATCAGCAATTGAAGAGGAAGAGAAAACGAACAACGAGTGCATTTTTCGAAACACAAATACGAAGAAATAGCTTGTTATTGTCAATCATTTTTCAATATCTCGTAATAAGAATTTGATTTTTGGCATCTCAAATTCGTGATATCAGTGGCACTAGTCGAAGATCGATTCACATATATCTTCATTCGTTTCTATCAACGATTTTTATACTTTATTTGCTTTTTCTTTTATTCAACTCCATAGTTCTAGATAAATACACAATGATCGAAACAACATATACAAAAATTAACTGTGACAAATACTAGTCGTACATGAGTGATAATAAATATCTACCTATCAATCATTCGCTTGATCAATCCACGTGTATCTTTGAGAACAAACGTCAGTATCAATACCTGATCTTTTTTGGTGTAGAAAAGAAAAGGAGAGAGTGAAGTACATAGAAGAAGACAAATACATAGAATAGATTCTCCTTGATGTTCATGCGCTTTGACTATTTACTGGTAGATAGTGGCTCGATTTATCTTTGTTAATTGAATAAGCGTTATCATTCCTGTCTGGTAGTCTGATATTGGGTTTCACTGCTTTTAAAGAGTCTTAAATGACTGACACGAGAAAAAATTTGAATTGTTTTAAAACATTCACATTAATTTTCATTATCGACTAAAGATGCCGTGGTATTGATTTACCCTTCTTTGAAACTTTTTTAACTACAAAAACAAACAATTCGTAGAAACTGCAAAAAACATCGATTTTTCCAATATGATTTGCTTGTTTTGATACAGCCTAAGCCCATCTGAAATGGAAATATCTCCCTATAAATCAATCAGCTGAAAGAGCAACATACAAGATTCATAGAAATATTTAGTCGAAGAGTGTGAGTGTAGATGAAGAAAACACTAATAGTCACACTCGCATTTACATTGACACCCTCTTCTGACCTAATCCATTTGTACTTTCACGCTTGTTTTACCTTAACTCGTCCATCATTAGGTTGTAGCTAGGAGTGTGAA